CGGTTGACGTTGCCGTCGAGGCGGCGATCGAGGTCGCCGTGGAGGCTGCCGTGGCGGCGGCCATCGAGATTGTGGAGGACGCTCCCGAGGCGGGGGCGTCGGCGACGCCGGCTGTGCGGCTTCCCGAGGCTGCGGGGCCGGATGCGTCGGTGCTGGCTGGTCTAACGAAAGACAGCTGGCAGCATCTGGTGGCGCTGATGCCGATGGCGGCGTCGGTGGAGACGGCGACGGCGCATCGGCTTCGCCTGGAGGAGCAGCTGCGCCGGGAGACTGCGGCCGCTGAGGCGGCGCACCAGCAGCTCAGCTCGGTGCAGGCGTCGGTCCAGGGAATGACCATGGCCGTAGAAGTGGCAGAGTCGTTCCGCCGGCGGCTCCGCTCGGCGGAGGCGGAGAATACTGCACGAGAGCAAGATTTGACGCGGCGCGTGGCGGCGCAGTTCCGTGTGGCGACGCGTGTGGCGCTGCGTAGCCTGGGGCAGGCGTTCCCTGCCGGTGGGCAGGTATTTTTGCAGGAGGAGGATGTCGTGGTGCGACGGGAAGGTGAGTGCGCTGTCTGCTTAAGCAGCAGTACGCTGCGATTAATGCAGTGGCTATTGGACACAGGAGCGCTATGGATGGCGCGTATGGCGACGACACCAAGTGTCGAGTTTGTCTGGGGGCCGGCAATGGATGTGGTGCCGGCGTGGTACGCCGGAGCGCGTGCTGAAGATGTTCCTCGAGTTGCTGCGATCGAGGCGGCCGCGGCTGCGGTTGTTGTAGCGCCGCGTGCGGCTGAGGCGCCTGCAGCGCCATCTCGCCGCTTATCGACGCCGCGCCGAGAGTCCTCCGCAATGGTGGAGGATGAGGCGGCTCCGCCGTCGCGTGCGCCGGTCGCTGAGGCGGCTATGTGTGGCGATGATCTCGACGTGGAGATGCTGGACGCCCCTCCAAGTAAGTTCGATAGCGATGGTCGGCGAAAGCCGATGTAACACCTGGTCTGTTTGTTGGGCTGCGCAGTTGCAGACGTGCCGGAGGCGGAGCACTTCGAGGTGCTGACGGAGACATGGCGGTTCGAGCCGGAGGAGCCGATGGTGTACGTGCGGAACGTACGGGAGCGACGGGGTGCCGTGGGCGATCGGTCCCGCTTTATGCGGAGTTTTCAGCGACCGACGCCTGGGTGCACGGTTGCGGATTACCGGTTCAGATGCGTGCAGTACACCCGGATCCCCCCGGTACCGCGAGGCTTTAGCAACGGCCGGAAATGCGTCTTGGTGATCGGGGACTCGTTGCTGTCCATGTCGAGGATCACCCGTGAGCCGTATTGTTTCTTCGGACGGATCAGCTCTCGGTCGAACACGCCGCAGCCAGTGTTCGACTACTCCTACCTGACGGAAGACCTATCGTTTGAGGTGTTCCAAGTGAGTAGAGGGAGGGGTTTGGGACGTAGCAGGGCTGCGTTGTAAACAGTGGTTTGGCGTTTTTCGCAGTGGAGTTTGAGCGGCTTGGCCGCGCTGTGTGGTCGGAATGCCATGACGCCGGCGAACCTGCGCCAGCGGGTGTGGGCGGACCTGTGCTTGCCCGTGGATATGGAGTTTGTGGCGGTCCTGGTGCGCATCGGGACCAACGACATCAAGTTCCTGGTGTCACGGACGGGGCCGTGTCCGTTCGCGTCTTTTTCTGCGTTCTTTTCGCAGTTAAGGATGTATCATGCGGACCTGACCG